CTCTGGCTCTGGCTGTCGGAGCCCCGGCTGCTCTGTAAGCCGCGCACACGCTCTGTTTGGGGGGGGGAGGAGGGGAAGTCCGGACATTGACAAATTCCCCCCGGACGCTATTTTTAACTCGAAAAAGCCGGACATGTCCGGGGGAATCCGGACGAATGGTAACCCTAACATATAACTAAAATAAGCATGAACAGTGTCAAGAGCTGTTGAGGCTCCTAGATGAGAAAATCTTAGCATAGATCCTAACAACTTTGACACAAAGCTTCCCTCCTTTAGCTCACCTGTTGGTTCTGCTGTCTAAAGCCATGAAGTACCCAGATGTTGTCTGCAGTGGTGATTGTATCACACCTACTGCAAGATCATTTGAAGGGCAGAGGACTCTGCTAACAAGCTGAAGGTCTTGGCTGGTGAGTACAGTGGCTCTAGGGAAGAGAGAAAATGTTCAATGTCTCAGTGCAGTTTACACATATTATTTAAAACCAAAAGACTTCTATTTAAAATTCAGCATAAGGGATAACACAACAGCATGAAAAGGCAGAAGTTCTAATTAATTAGCCATCATTACTCTGTTAGCTAGATGATAGTGTTATCTGCATCTTATTTTTGTTTAAGTACTATACACTCCTATTACCAGGGACCATAACATATTAACCTTTTCACTACTGTTAGAGCATCCATTTGAGTAGGCGGCACAAAATGTCTATTAAAATTAATCAATGCCTTTCCTGAATGTACTGGAGCAGCATAAAAGCTGTTATAGAACATTCAACTTTGCGCAAAATCTTTCTTGGGCACTATTCTTTCTGATGGTCTATATTTTACTCCTATTTTATTTGCAAAATAATAACCCTCCCCATAATTGAAAGGGTTTTTAACAAGTTATTTACATTTTAATGAAATAGGATTATTGATTACATATTCGTTAATTAACTTTGCAAATATTACATGGAACAATGATACACAAGCACAAGGACCTAGAATATACAACCTGGGAAAGCACAAGAGGCATCATGGAAAAAAATAATTAAGGAAGGATTTGAAAGAGGAGAAGGGAGGATATTAGTGCACAGGGTATAATAGCAAGGCAGAACGTGAATAAATGCATACTAGGGAAAAATTAAGTGTTGATGGGAGGTCAGCTAGATCAGTGGTTTTAATTTTTTTTTTTCTGGTGACCCAGTTGAAGAAAATTGTTGATGCCCGTGACCCAATGGAGCTGGGGATGAAGGGTTTGGAGTGTGGGAGGGGGCTCAGTGCTGGGGCAGAGGGTTGGGGTGCAGCAGTGAGGGCTGCAGGGTGGGGCCAGGAATGAGGGGTTCAGGGTGTGGGGGGGATCTGGGCTAGGGCAGGGGGTTGGGGTGCAGGAGGGAGTCAGGGCTCTGGGCTGGACGGGGGTGCAGACTCTGGGGTGGGTCCAGGGATTAGGGTTTTGGGGTGCAGGAGGGGGCTCCATATTTGGGGGGGCTTAAGGCTGGGGCAGGGGGTTGGGGTGACTTAGGAAGGGATCAGCTACATGGGAAGGAAGGTGGACAGGACAATGAGGAGAGGGGAGAAAGGGCAGGAGTAGAGTGAAACTGAGGTGAAGAGACTGTAGTTGAGTCCCCATTGTGTTACTAGTGCGAGCTTCAGCGGCACTTGAGCAACAACCCACCCACCCCCTTCCCCAATGGGCCAATCAACTCTAATTTAAAGCCACAATTACCTCAAGCTAGAGGGGGGCTGGAACCCCAAGCTCCGAGTAGGGCTGAAGCACAGAGGTGAAAGTGGGCTGGTACAGCGTACCGGTAAGAAGTGGCCGCTAGTACGGGCCCATACACAGTTGACGTTAAAGTGCTGCTGCGGCAGTACTTTAAGGATCCTCCTTGCCCAAGGCAGGGGGGCAAAAGAGGCAGCTGCCCCGGGGCCCAGCGATTTAAAAGGTCCCGGGGCACCCGGCTGCCGTTGCTACCGCAACCTTCCACCTGAGCACCTGCCCCTTCTGTCCAAGTCCCTGCCCCTTCTGGGGCCCCGGAGCCAGGCCCCCGTACCGGTAAGACTTTTAAGTTACTTTCACCCCTGACCAAGCCCTGAGAGGGACCGAAGCCCAGAGCTCTGGAACCCCAACCAAGGCTGAATCCCAAAGCCCCAGCCTATATTTGAAAATACAGAAAACCTCCAAAAATATTTCAATAAATGGTATTAAATTATTGTTTAAGAGTGCGATTAAAACTGCGATTAATCATGATTAATTTTTAAAATCTCGTGATTAATTTTTTAAATTTCTTGACCGCGCTACTTTGAACTAATGAGTTCAAATCTTGTGGCAGTTATATTTCTGGTAAAATTTATATAAACTTATTTTAGAGTCATTAAATTCTTACCAGTGTTCTCAAGCATAATAAAACAAAAATCTGATCTAAAATGTTTCATATGTAAATAGAAACAATCCAAGTTAGAAAAATAACAGTTCAGTCATAAAGATGGCAGCTACAAAAAAGCCACGTGAAAAAGGTTAGCTACTTAATTGGTCAAGTCAGACAATTCAGAACTGCCATGTGTCAGCTTAATGCTTGGGAAGCTTATGTGCATAACTTCTAATTTTGTTTGAAGTTAGTAACTTTTATAAATATTTCATGCAGTAATGGAAGGATTAATCCCAAACTTTATATCTTTGCATAGTTTCATATAGTTTATATATATTTAGCCATAGGTGACTCAAAGAAACACTAATTTCAGACTGTCCTTATCTCTGTTCCAAATCTGTTCAATTTCACTTTGTACACCAATGTCTTGATTACATTATTTCAGTTAATTACAACATTATTTACACTGACAATCTTTGTATCACATGTCAACAAGATGCTTAGAGTACACAAAGAATCTACTATAAAATGCTAGTTTTAGGTCCTGAGCAACACAAACTCAAAGAATGTGCTTGGAAAACTGCTAAGATATGACAGAAATACAAAAAATGGAATTTTATATTTTTGTCCACTGGATTTTATCATGTTAGAACATAAGAATGGCCGTACTGGGTCAGACCAAAGGTCCATCTAGTGCAGTATCCTGTCTTCCGAAAGTGGCCAATGCCAGGTGCCCCAGAGGGAATGAACAGAACAGGTCATCATCAAGTGATCCATCCCGTCGCCCATTCTCAGCTTCTGGCAAACAGAGGCTAGGGACACCATCCCTGCCCATCCTAGCTAATAGCCATTGATGGACCTATCCTCCATGAACTTATCTAGTTCTTTTTTGAACCCTGTTATAGTCTTGGCCTTCACAACATCCTCTGGCAAGGAGTTCCACAGGTTGACTGTGCGTTGTGTGAAAAAATACTTCCTCTTATTTGTTTTAAACCTGCTGCCCCCTAGTTCTTGTGTTATGAGACGGAGAAAATAACACTTCCTTATTTACTTTCTCCACACCAATCAAGATTTTATAGACCTCTATCATATCCCCCGTTAGTCGTCTATTTCCCAAGCTGAAAAGTCCCGATTTTATTAATCTCTCCTCATACAGTAGCCGTTCCATACCCCTAATCATAATGTTGACAGAATTTCTGGAAAAGAATAAATCTAATTAATCGCTTAATTTAATTATCTATAATTAAATCAATCAGTTAATACCAATTACTCCCTGTAGAGTGGAGGACAGCAATTGACATAACATAGAACACTCTCAGTCTTGGGCCTTAGCTGTTAGCTGGCATTGCAAGGTATTTACATGCCAGATATGCTAAACATTCGTATGCCCCTTCATGCTTCGGACACCATTCCAGAGGACATGTTTCCATGCTGATGACGCTCTTTAAAAAATAATACGTTAATTACATTTGTGACTGAACTCCTTGGGGGAGACTTGTATGTCCCCTGCTCTATTTTACCTGCATTCTGCCATATATTTCATGCTATAGCAGTCTTGGATGATGACCCAGCACGTTATTCGTTTTAAGAACACTTTCACTGCAGATTTCACAAAAAGCAAAGAAGGTACAAATGTGATATTTCTAAAGAAAGCTACAGCACTCGACCCAAGGTTTAAGAATTTGGAGTCCCTTGCAAAATCTGAGAGGGACGAAGTGTGGAGCATACTTTCAGAAGTCTTAAAAGAGCAACACTCTGATGTGGAAACTACAGAACCCGAATCACCAAAAAAGAAAAATCAACCTTCTGCTGGTGGCATCTGACTCAGATAATAAAAAGGAACACGTGTCAGTCCACACCACTTTGGATTGTTATCGAGCAGAACCCATCATCAGAATGGACGCATGTCCCCTGGAATGGTGGTTGAAGAATGAAGGGGCAACCGAATGTTTAGCATATCTGGCATGTAAATACCTTGCAATGCCGGCTACAAAAGTGCTATGCAAATGCTTGTTCACACTTTCTGGTGACGTAACCAAGAAGCGGGCAGCATTATCTCCTGCAAATGTAACTAAACTTGTTTGTCTGAGCGATTGGCTGAATAAGAAGTAGGACTGAGTGGACTTGCAGGCTCTAAAATTTTACATTGTTTTATTTTTGAATGCCGTTTTTTGTACATAATTCTACATTTGTAAGTTCAACTTTCATGATGAAGAGATTGTACTACAGTACTGGTATTAGATGAATTGAAAAATACTATTTGTTTTGTTTTTTTACTATTTAAATACCTGTAATAAAAAAAAATATAAAGTGAGCACTGTACACTTTGTATTCTGTGTTGTAATTGAAATTAATATATTTGAATACGTAGAAAACACCCAAAATATTAAAATAAATGATATTCTATTATTGTTTAACAGCACAATTAATCGCACAATTAATTTTTTTAATCGCTTGACAGCCCTTGTATTTTTGTTCTGTTTATATTTAGGGTCTCTGATCTGTATCCTACTCAGCAAGTCCCCAGAAATAATCCTGCTGCTATTGAAGCCAATGGTAATTCTCCTATTCATTTTGATGGGACCAGGATCAAGATTTAAATCATATTAATTATTATTAAAGAAAGTGCTAAGTAACCAGAACTAGAAGTACAGATTAGCTACATGACTAGAAATGGTTTTAATAGAAATTACTGGGTAATAGAAACAAATTACAGTGTGAAAAATTACTATGAAGTATGTCACCTAAGTTATTTTTCAATGTTAGCTAACTTGTTTAATACCACCAGAAGATATAATTATATTAAGACAATTAATTTGAAAAAGCTGATGTCTACGAATGCTCGAATGATCAGTATTTAATACTCTCTGCTTGTCTCTATCTATTATTCCATTGATGTCCTCTGGATATTTTTGATGATTCAAGCATTTAACATCTTCACCCCTAATAATGTGTTTTATAATAATTGTACCCTTCTAAGAAGTATTTTCTCCTCTCAGTGACAGCATATATTATAGTTCGCATTAACCCTCTCCCGTCGTCCCCAAGAGGAGTATACACACTAACGATGTGCTTAACTT